CTCTGTTGGTGGTTTCTCTTGCTGTGCAGAAGGCTTTTAATAAGGAGCGATCCCACTTGTTGATTGTTTGTTCTAGTTCACATGCAACTGAGGTTTTGTTCATGAAGTCCTCCTATGCCAATATCTTCAAGAGTTCTACTTAACCTCTCTTCTGACTAGTTTAGTGTTTCTGTCTTAATATTTAGATCTTTGATCCATTTCAATTACAGTTTAGTGCCTGGTGAGAGATATAGGTCTAATTTTAATCTTTTGCAAGTTGAAACCAAGTTTTTCCAGCACCATTATTAAAGAGGCTATCTTTCCTCCAGTGAGGGATTTTGGCTCCTTTGTCAAAGATGAGGTGGATGAGTATGTCTAGAGTTGTTTCTGCATCCTCTAAGATGTTCCATTGATCCCCAAGTCTGTTTCTTTGCCCATACCATGCTGTATTTATCACAGTAGCTTTGTAGTATAGTTTCAAGTTGGGGATTGTGATACCCCCTACCTTGTCTTTCTTGCCTAGAATTGCTTTTGTTATTCTAAATTTCTTCTGGTTCCAAGTGAATTTTTGGATTGTTTTCCCAAGTTCTGTAAAATATGTTGTTGGAATATCAATTGGGATTGTGTTGAATCTATATAGCAGTTTTGGAAGTATGGCCAATTTTATTATGTTAAGTTCCTTCTACCCTGAAGCAAGTGATGGCTTTCCATTTTCTGATATCCTCTTTGATCTTCTTTTTTCAGAATGCTTTAGTTTTCCAAGTAGCATTCTTTTATTTCTTTCATTAGATTCCTTCCAAGGTATTCCATTTTTTTTTTTTTTTTGGATTCTATTGTGAAAGGAATTATTTCTCTGGTTTCTCTCAGTGAGTCTCTTGTTCATTTACAAAAAGGCCATTGATTTTTGTGTTTTGATCTTGTATGGAGCTACTCTACTGAATTTGGTTATTAAGTCTAGAAGACTTTTGTTGGAGTTCTTGGGGTATATAGAGTAACATACTGTCTGCAGATAATGACGATTTGACTTCTTCATTTCCTATCTTTATTCCTTTTATTTCTTTCTCTTGTCTAATTGCTGTGGCTAATGTTTCCAAAACTATATTGAACAGGAGTGTTGATAGTGGATATCTTTGTCTTGTTCCTGATTGTAGTATGAAGGAATTCACTTTTTGAGCATTTAGTATGATGTTGGATCTTGGTTTTTCATAGATGGCTTTTATCAGGTTAAAATAAAGTTGATATATTCCAATTTTCTGTAGAGTTTTTATTATGAAAGGGTATTGGATTTTATTGAATGCTTGTTTTGCATTTATTGAAATGATTATATAGGTTTTTGTCCTTGACTCTGTTAATATAATGTATTACATTTATTGATTTACATATGTTTAAACATCCCTGCATATGAGGGATGAATTCCACTTAGTCAGGTTGTATGATCTTCTACATTTTGTTTGCCAGTATCTTATTGAGGATTTTCAATTGGAGCTGTGTCTGCCTTATAGAACAATGTGATG